GGCGGCAGTCAGGTCGCGGTGGGGAGGGTGCAGCTCTGGGTCTGGTTCCTAAGGGTTTCGTTAGACGTTTCTGGTGGGCTGAGCTCCAGGAGCAGCTCTGCAGCCCTGTGGCCTCAGTAGGTGCTGCTACACCTCTGAGCCAGTGAGTACTTGCTGGTCTGAGCAGAACTCCCCTTGGTGGCAAGAGCACCCCTGGAGGTTCAGGGTCCTTGCTAGAGGAATTGCTCTGATGCCTCTCTGGCAGTTCTGCAGTGATACACCAGGTTGTTTGCATACACTGACTACCCCAAGGGCTTGACCAGGTAAAGATGTCTCAGCTGAGCTCTTCTGGACTCTTTCCTGCCAGGAAGAGGTCTCGGAGAGCAGCTCCAGCACAGATGCCATTCCCAGGATTTACCTGCCAGACTCATCCTCCATTGCACAATCCACCCTGGTTTCCAGTGTCTCCACTGTGAGCCAGTCCATCATGGTGTCAGAGTCCCCACAAGTCTTGGTGCACTCCAGCGTCGTCACCGACGGAGCCACAGTTGTGTCAGACTCCACTGCATCCACATCCTCAGACTTGGGTTCTGCCATTGACAAGATCATTGAGTCCACCATTGGGCCTGACATCATCCAGAGTGAGTGTCTGCTCCCACTTGGAGAGGGCTCAGGGGATTGGGAGGGAGTTACTGATAACGCCAGACATTGGGAGGTGGAGAAATATGGACACAGAATCATTAAGGTTGGAAAAGACCTCTAAGACCATAGAGTCTAGCTATCAGTGGGGGTTTCTCAGCTTGCCTTGCTGTGGCAGCTGGAGGGTTTGACTAGGAGCTCATGGCTGCTAGACAGCCCTCTCTCTGTCCTGCTGCTCCTTCAGCCCCTGGAACCAGACCTTCCTCACCCCTTCCTGCTTGTGTTTGAACTGGCAAAGCTCCAGTGAGCCCCAGTGACTCTCTGCCCTCGAGGCTGGCAGTTACCATTCTGCTCTTCTCCCCCTGCCAGGCTGCATCGCCGTGACCAGTGCGGAGGATGGAGGAGCAGAGACCACACAGTACCTCATTCTGCAAGGCCCTGATGATGGTGAGGGAGTGCCCTGGGCTCTATATGGTGGGTGGCTCTGCCTCTGAGCCTGTGCTGCTGGAACAGGCCCTGGAGGGGTATCCCGGCTGCATCACCCACATCCTGTACCACAGTCCTGTCAGGAGCTCGTGGTCAGCCCTGTGGTCCCGGTACAGGTTCAGCCTTGGATACAGGTGAGGATCTGCTCCTTGGCTGAGCAGATTTTGGTGTTTCAGGTGCCCCCATGGTGTCCCAGATGGCCACTTCTGCTCTGGCCAGTAGCTTGGCAATAGAAGCTGTTGCTGATGGACCAACCTCCACGTGCCTTGACCAGCCTGGCCCTTCAGAGCCTTCTGAGCAGCTGGAAGTGCTGGAGCTGCCCACACAGCCAGACCAGGCCCAAGACGCAGATGGTGGGGAGGAGCTGGACCAGCCAGACATGGAGACCCTGGAAGAGATGATGGAGGTGGTGGTGGTGCAGCAGTTCAAGTGCAAGATGTGTCAGTACAAGAGTGTCTCCAAGAAAACACTGATTAACCACATGAAAGAGCGTCACTTCCAGCCAGGTGTGTGCCACGGGGCTGAGGGATAGTTATCTCGCTTCAATGGGCTCTGGTCACTCCAGGAAAGAAACAAGGAGTTGGATGGAGCATAAGGGCCTGTTCTGCCACACAAGCTGGTAAAGAGCTTTTTCCCTATTCCCTGTGGCAGTGGGTTCAGCTCTAGCTTTGAAGAAAGGACGTCAACGAAAGGCAGGAGCTGCTCCAAAGGCAGAGGAGGAGGAGGCCCCAGAAGAAGAAGATGATGATATCATGGATGCTGGTGCTATTGATGACCCTGAAGGTAGGACTCGTACTCCCCACATCTTGTGTAGTTCAGTCTTTTCCCAGCCTCTGACCTTTTGGGGTATTTTCCTGCAGAGGACAGTGACTACAACCCAGCTGAGGATGAGCCCCGTGGACGACAGCCCAAGTATGGCCGCACTGTCCCCACGTCCAGTGAGGAGAGGCCACGTCGACGCCCAGGGAGACCCCGCAAGCCTCTTCGTCTGGAGGACATGCCTCAGGATGTGCCGGAAGGTGAGTGAGGCAGGAGGCTGCAGGGGCTGGAGCAAGGAGCAGTACACAAGCTCCCAGAGCCCACAGTGGGAGTGTGACATAGCTGTGCTGTGTTCTGTCGAGCAGGAGCTGAGGGGGAGCCCTTGGTGACATCCCAAAGCACACCAAGCTGTGAGCTGCAGAACTCGGAAGCAGCCAGTTCTTCTGGCCTGGAGAACGGGACTGGGGAGAGCCTGGCAGAACCCAGCATCAGCCAGTCTGACTCTGAGAACAAGGACCCTTCATCCAACACCGGTGCTGAGGAGGCTGACATGGTCCCCCGGCGGCGTGGACGACCCTCCCGCCGCTTCCTGGGCAAGAAATACCGCAAGTACATGGGGCGCAGGTGAGGGGTGTGTGCCAAGCCAGAGCTGGGCCCTCTGGCCTCTGCCCAGGGCCGGTCCAGCCCGTTGGCCACCGCAGCCCTGAGCCCTGCTCCTGTTTCTGCAGGTACTACTACAAGTCCCCCAAGCCCCTGATGCGGCCGTACCTGTGTCGGATCTGCGGCTCGCGGTTCCTCACACATGATGATCTGCGCTTCCACGTCAACTCCCACGAGGCCAATGACCCACAGCTCTTCAAGTGTCTTCAGTGCAGCTACCGCTCCCGGCGCTGGTCCTCACTCAAGGTGAGCTCTGCCCTGCCCTGCCCTGAACCCGTGAGGGTGGTTGGCAGCCCCAGGTCTCACAGCTCTGCTCTGCTGCTGGCAGGAACACATGTTCAATCATGTGGGCAGCAAACCCTACAAGTGTGAAGAGTGCAATTACACGAGTGTATACAAGAAGGATGTCATCCGGCACTCCACAGTGCACAGCCGAGACAGGTGAGGGAAGCACAGTCCTGGGACTGAATGGCACTGACCTGTTCCTCCTGCCCTGGGAGTGCAGCCATGGCTGCCCCTTCCCCTGACCTCTGTCCCTTTCTAAAATGAGGAGTTTTGGTGTCTGGGTATAAGGCTAACACAAGGGGCTTTTCTTCTTTCAGGAAGAAGAGAGCTGATCCGGTGAGTGTGAGTCCTGTGTCGGTTTGTCTCTCAGCACTGTTATATGGGAAGAGGCATGTCTGGGTCTTCCACAAATTCTGGGTGCCTTGTTGAGGGCAGTGTGTCTGGATCTCCTGAGAAAAGGCAGCCCAGGCTCTGCAGTGGGGAGTGGGTATGGAAACTGGTGAGCCTGTCCAGGTGAGCTCATCTTCATGCTCTCCATCCAGCCACCAAAGCTGAACTCCTTCCCGTGCCCTGTCTGCAACCGTGTATACCCCATGCAGAAGAGGCTTACGCAGCACATGAAGACACACAGCACGGAGAAACCACACATGTGTGACAAGGTGAAGGGGGACACAGCCTGGGGAGGGGCTGGTGATGGGTGAGGCTGTGCAGAAGGTGAATGCTGCTTTGCTTTGTTTCACCACAGTGTGGGAAGTCCTTTAAGAAGCGCTACACCTTCAAGATGCATCTGCTGACACACATCCAGGCCATTGCCAACCGCAGGTAGGAGCCTGGTGCAGCCCATTGCGTGCCTGGGGCAGAGCCTGTGTCCTGCTCCCCCTCAGCCCGTGTGACAGGCAGCTTTGTCCTGGCAGGTTCAAGTGTGAGTTCTGTGACTATGTCTGCGAGGACAAGAAGGTCTTGCTGAACCACCAGCTGTCACACATGAGCGACAAACCCTACAAGTGCAGCTTCTGCAAGTATTCCACCTTCCGGGAGGACTTCCTGGTCTCGCACATGGCAGTCAAGCACACAGGTGAGAGGAGCTGCCTGCCTGATGCCCTGCACTCCCCATTCTGCCGGAGGCAGTCAGAGCCTGCCTGCTCTCCCTGTCACCCCTGGAGACCTCCTGCCTGACTCTCTCCCTGGGGCCCCACAGGGGGAAAGCCTTTTGCTTGCGAGTTCTGTCACTTCACCACCAAGCACAAGAAGAACCTGCGCCTGCACGTGCACTGCCGCCACGCCGACTCCTTCGAGGAGTGGGCACAGAGGCACCCCGAGGAGCCCTC